CGGCTGTGTGTCTAGTTCAACCATCTGCGCAGACGATGAGCAAGCATAATATGGCTGGGATACAGTCGCTACATAACTTCTCTTACGAGAATGGAGGCATAAGGGTGTGGCGAGCCTATAACGTGGGTCCTGGAAAGTTTTATAGTGCAGCTCAGCTTGCACGGTTTGGTACTCCCCAAGGTCCTACAAAGCTCGTCATAATTCATCCTTTTGGCAGACCACATGTAGAGGTGGGTACCTATCGCCAGCAACGCGCTATGCCTGCAAGATCTTCGTCTTTGCCTGGGTCACATCAAGAACCTCCTGAATCCGCACAGGCAGACCAGGTAGGAGAGAAGGTTATGTTTCATTGTCAAGAGGAAGGGTGTATCAAGACCTTCCAGTCATTTGCGTCGCTCCAAAGGCACCTGGACTTTGGTACGCACATGGTGAGACTGGTAAAAAAATGGGCGAAAATGGGCGGAGCCATGCCATTCCCTGGGTGGTGGCTATGTTCGGGGTGATTTAGCTACCTTCGACTCCAGTGACCAAGCAACACCTGGCGAAGTCGTGGAGCGAGGATGGGCTCTTCAGAAAAATCGAAAAACGGTAGCCTTTTCCGAGAAAGCGAAGAGCTATCTGGTAGACGTGTTTTGGGCCAGGGAGGAAACAGGAAAGAAGACAAACGCCTCCTTTGTCGCCTCCAGAATGAAGTCTTTGAGAGACGAGAATGGGCAGAAGATGTTCACAAAGACCGACTGGTTGACAGAACAACAGATTGCTCGATACTTTAGCCGACTCTCCGCCCTCAATAAGGCTGGTCGATTACAGAGAACCCACTCTGCCTTAATGAATGAGGATGAAGAAGCTGATGCCGATGATCTTGTTGTAGAAGCCGAGGCTGTCCGGACAAGGCAGCAGATAAGGAGGGACCTTGAACTTTAATTTTTTAAAAAATTGGTAGGAGTGCAATAACCTTCTTACCTCGTGGCACGAAAGTTTAGTTTTGCGAATTGGCGATTTTTTTGTTGGTGTTTTGAGGGAACTAATTTTTGCAATTTGGACAGGTTTTCTTGCTGACAATTAACTTTTGCTATTTTTTTTAAAAAGTCCCGGGCAAATCAAAGATAATATTTTCTTTTTTATTGAATACATGCAATGGAAAAACATTCGTCAACAATTCCACTGTGTGTATACCCCATTTAAAACCAGCATGACAGATTACTTTTCTGTGGCATTCGATTGCAAACACGTACCGCAAAAATTTTATGCCGCACGGTAACTCGAACAAACAATGTTCTGGCATAAAGGCCGATAGTACCCAATCAGTGACCTCGCGTTTATTCGAGGATTGTATTTCAGTTTCTTTTACAAGCCAGGAAAAATGACTGTGTGTTACATCCCAGCAAGAAAAAAATACCTGCGTGTTTTACATAAAATTTTTCAAATGATTAAGCGTTGTTGTCAACCTTGATAAGAAGAGTTTCAAAATAAATGCCGCCCTCGAATAAACACAGCATCGGGAACATGAAGTAAACACGGAATATTTAGTAAAAAAAAGGTCACGACATTTTTCTTTCAGTTTTGGCTTTTTGGGAGACGAAAGCAAAAACGTAAATATTTATTTTTTGTTGCGTTTTGCTTTGTTTATTTTTATTTATTGTCTCTTCCTGTCTGGGCAACCGAAAATTGTTTAGAATTACTATGAAATTTCCGAGGTAGGCGCGGGAAATTCGCTGAACAAAACATTGCAGGCTCATTTTTTGTCACGTAATACTTGGGCGTAAAAATGTTGATCGAGAGTGATAGAACTCTGAAAAACTTGTAATTAAAAAAAATGCAGATAGGAGGAAACAAATAACTCATGGAGCTAAGAAGGCCATTCTGAAAGCCTTCCCTGGAGGCAAAGAAGAGGATTTGAAACAAATATTGTCTGGTCACGCAGCATACATTAGTTCGGCGTAGATCGACGGCGACCCGACGGCGGTAAGCGAAAATAACACCATTGTTCCTTCTAATACTCTTCTTTTTCCGAGTTCGTAACCAGAAGTTAAATAATTTTTTAAGAGCTTAATTTCTTTATCGCTAGAAGGAAGAATTTCTCATCATTATGTTGTTTTTAGATGTGCGAGTTGACATTGCTTAATGACTGGCGTGACTCAAAGTTTTTCAACATCCCCGCCATGTGGCCTTGAAATCTACCCTAGGAAATTAAGAACAGCCTGGTTTTCTCACAATAAAGACAATATAGACAGTAAACACTTGAATAAGACGACTTATATATAGTTTAACTCTTGAGAAGAATAATCTCTGATTTTGCGAGAACATCTAAACGAGCTCACAAAGATTACGATTTTGCCTTCGATATTTTGGTGACACGCATTACTACTCAGTGTGAAATCTTTCATTTTCTCGCCAAATCTAGATCGTTTTAAGCATGTATTAAACTCTTCAATTACTAATCTTGTATAATGGGCTAGAAAATGTCGGTTTATTAGCTTGAGCAGCCGTTAATCCTTGAATTACAGGAAAAATGAAATGGAAATAAACCTATTCTAGGTGTAGTTTTCAATTGGCATCTGATGCCCAAAAAAGGTAGCGCCCAGAAATTTTTTTTATGTTTATTGTAGACCAAAGGGTTGTTAAGCAGGGAATAAAAAAATTATTGTCATAGCTTTCTGGCAAGGAGAGATATTCGATCTCAAAATCAGCAAATAATTGAATGGCTAAAAAGGTGGTCCCATATTCAAGGCCGGTGATTGACAAGCTGTCAATCAAATCGACTGAAACTTATATTCTTGCATTTATTAAAGACGTATCAACATATACACAAACCCTCATAGTCAAAGGTTAAAAACAGTTGTCCTGAGAGCTTCCTACTTTTGCCCGTTATTAATGCCCTTTTATCAGTAAAAAATATAATTAAACCAGTTGGGTGGGCTATCTCCCACCATAAAGATCCAAACTACAAACCAGTTTGTCATTTTGAGTTTTGGGGTAGACCCTTTAAACTGGCCAAGTTTCAGCGAAATCGGAGAGATGGCATGTAGCACGCCTGCCTGGTGCACCCATGGACTCACTCTTAAGCAAACAAAGAAGAGAGAGAAGGGGGTGAACGTGAGCTTATTTACTGTCCGCCATATTTTTGTAGGGTTTGTGGAAGGTGAGAATCTGGAATCCGGAATCCGGAATGTGGAATTCGCAACCCTTTCAATGTCACCTGTTGGAGCATATTGTATAGTTTTATACTTTCTTTATTAGCTGAAACTCAATTTGCGTGACAATAATTATTTCATCTTCAACTTTACAGGATATTGAACAGAATGTCTCAGAACCTCGGCCTGCTATTCAAACGTGTCCTCAGCTGCTACATAAATAACTATGGAAAATAAGTTGTCAAAACAGCAAACAACTAGGTATAGTTCCATTATTCAGTTTCTCGATCGTTCTCAGACATATATTTGTCATCCGGTTTCAACAGTTTCGCCTGAAACCGAGGGTTGAAAGTTGTGATACTTCAGTAGCACGTAACAGCTGACGCTCTGCCCCGCTTAGATTACAAACTTAGAAATGACTACTGTATATTCTGTTTTCCACAAGCACTGACTCTCGCTCCACCCCGCTCTATCTCCAGAAATTTTTCAATAACAGATTTAGACTGCTCTCAATTACTGAGGAACTTTCAGTCATTCTTCAAAGCGGTCCATAGCCCAGTGACCACCTAAATCGCAGTTTACGCTACTGGCAAACAACCTAAATGGCACATGTACCTGCGAAGTGTTCCTTTGCCAGGATAGCAAATATTACTTGTGGTTCCTCACGCGATAAAGACAATTTTTTTCTACTAAATAAGTGCGTTGTCCCAGTAAAGAACCACCTAAGAAGCCATAACCTTTCACGTACGAAGGTCACCGCATAGGATTTAATTTTGGCAAGGGAAGGTTTAATTGCCTTGCCTATACATAGGCACAGTCTCGGTATCATTACACTGGTGGCCACGTAAAACTGTCGGTATCCTTATCCTGGCCATGAAGGAAAAAAGATCGCCCTTCACTGTAAAAAACCAATCAACGGGAATCCACGAGAGTTTTGTTACCCTTGTTCTTGTGAGGTCACGTAAGTATTTCCAATTGTTCTGTTTTAACTCCTGTCCTTTTTTTTAATCAAAGAACTGGTTGGGCATAAATAGATGGGACAAAGGATAAAAACGAAAATTTAAATTTTGCTTCGTTTTGTATGTCAAGTAGTCAGAGGGGCCGCGTGTCACGCAATGTTTACTACACAGTGACTATTCTATAGCAATTTACCTAACATTTCTAAAATACTATATATACAAATAAAAGAAAATAAATATACAAATAAAGAAACGTGTACAGAATAAAAAAATAAACAGATCGTTTCTAAGAACATAAAATTATTTCATAAATGGAACTGGTTGAGGTAAAAACTTATTTGCATTTTTTCATGTGTAGGGTTTATTTTGTGCTGTAGTAATTCAATTAACATATTGTGAGTGTATTAAAAGAAAAACAAGAGCCTGGATATCTACCAGGCTTGATGTTCTAACATAACATAACGTAACATAATATTTTATTGGGTTATTCCAGAAAAAATCCACACCCCCCCGACGGATGGGGTCCTTTTTTAACCCCCCCTCTCACCTGGATTTCCGGGAAAAAAATAAAAGGCTTAAATTTAATTTATTTTTAATGGAAAATACACGCAAACACGTCTAAATGTTTTTGTTTTAATTTCTAAAGCTTCAGCTTATATTAAACTAAGAATTCTATCGCGTGGAACTAAAAACGAAAGGAGCAAAAAACAAAAATGCGAACGACACCTGAACGAGTGTTTACATAATTTCTTAGCTTATAAAAATCAGTGACCTTTTTCTTTCTTTGCGCTAAATATGAATATCCATTCCTTTACGAGACATAAGGCAGCCGGCAGCATGCGTGTCAGTCTCGTCCACTGAAGATCGA